ACCTAAATGTATACATAGGCCTACTGATGATAGCTTGATTAAGATTTGGGTTAGATTGCCTTATCTAGGGAAAACCAGGTGAGGACATTTTACGTAGATGTTTAAATAAGGTAAAGAAACACTTAATTAAAGAGGTAAAATTCATAACTTTATGGCAGTATAAAAATGTTTCTCATTTTATATCTACTAAGGATTAAACCTTATACACATCTAGATGTGTATAAGAGCAGAAGTTCTGTTGTCTATCATTTTAAATGTCCAGGCTGCAATAGTGATTATATTGGTAAGACAGATAGGTGCTTAATAACTAGACTTAAAGAACATTCTTCACGATCTGATATTGTTATATTTGATCATGTTAAAAACTGTGAGGCATTCCAATATGTTTTAGGATTACAGGGTATACTTGAAAATGATAATGTCGTCTGTAATGTAAGTAATAAATTAGGTTTAATATTTTCTAGTACTAACATTATTGACAGCTCCCGAAACTGGTCTATCCTATTGTTTAAAGAAGCGTTCGCTATACGTAGACTACACCCTTAACAATGAGCTCAGAGCTTCAAAAGAGCTTTCTTTGTTTTTGTAGGTATCTTTGATCATTAGAGTAAGAATGCTTTGATCTTTTGTTTAAATCACTGCTATGTCACCTACTAGAGGTAATGTTTTGATTGGTTAAACACTTTTGGTACTAGTGCATATAAGTTTGCTAATATGGATAATTTGTTCATTCCTGATGATGACACAATTAATGTCGAAATATTGAATCCCAACACGATGGCGTGTATTTCAATACTTGGAGTATGTATTATACTTTCTTATCTGAGATACTGATTGTAGTAGATGTATATGTTAATTTTTAAAGATTACAAGTTTCTTAAATAGATTAATTTTGCATTCAAGTTCATTGAGATTATAAAGCATATGGTCAAAATTCTTTACCTATTACCCATTACGAATTTAGCTTTATTCAAAATGAATCTCAAAACTTTTTTATTTACTAATGTTTTTAGTCCAGATTAATCTTTACCTGCCGACTTTGATAATTTCTTGAATTGGTGTGGTATGAAAGATATTACTATTTTTAAAATCTTGCTTGCGAGAGTTTGGAAGACCATACTGATTTCCGAAAGACTTCCACGAATATCGGTAGATGTGGCACCCCTGAATATGTGGAGAGCATGGTTCAGAAAATAGCAAACTAGGGTTTCCAATGATGATCATGTGTCTTTTATGAATTGTATTAACAAATGATACATTAGGATAAGATTCACCAACACACAAAGTAGGCCTACGCATAATTTCTGAACCCTTATCCACCAAAATAATTAACCAGAGTTTATTAAATGCTAATGAAGAGGAAGTATGAACAGGTTTAATAGTGCTGTAAATATACGCTGTTATATCAGTCTCTTGATTTCAGATGACACAGCCGATCTTTAGTCTGCAAAAACAGGAAGTGCCAGTCCAAATTTATATGTTTGTAATGTAGACCTCAGCTGTAGCCTTCATTCAAGACATTATCAGTTAAAAAGCAGTTATTTGACATGAAATTCTTGTTTTAAAATTAATTTATTAAATTACAGTATGAAATAAATTGAATGGAGCTGCAACTTCTCACCCTAAGATACTACTACAATTTTGATTTTTTTTTTTAAATAAGTCTACTCCAATCCAATTCAAATATTTGGAACTGAACAAAACATGAAAATTTAATCTTTTTAATCACTCATAAATCCTAATGGAATAACCTAGAGCATGCTTATGCCAGGCTTACTCTCACAAGGCAGGTTAGATTAGATGATGAATATAATCATAAACCCTCATAATGAAACTTAATTTAAAGAGAACAGGACAGCAATTTTCTAGTTATTTACATCAGTAGTATGAGATGGTGTGAGTGTCACAATTTGCATAAATTACAAAAACAAGTGTTGATCATTATCAACTACCTTTGATGTCATAGCTAGTTATTCAATCATGACCTTTCCCAGCGAACGACCGCTTACTAATTAGTATACACGCAAACAACAACATGCCCTGTACCAAATATCGACGCTAGCTTGATGAAACACTGTGGTTTTGTTTTTCTTTCTTTATTTCTGCACATCAAATAAATAAAGCAACAAAAACGAGGAGAGGAAAAAGGCATATGCAGTGCTTTATGATACATTTTTACTTGTATATTAGGGGTGTGTCTCAAACACTAATTAGAACATAACATTGAATAACAATTAAAATGATTATCTTTTAAAATCTTCTCTGGCATGCAACACTTTAAAAAACTGCCTGAAACTGCTATGTGATATCAACCGCAGGCCTGCAGCCAGGGGGTTTTCAAGGTTCGGGCAAACCCCCCCCTCTTTTCTGGTGAACCCCCTCCCCAAAACTCAACTAATGCACTGCAGACCCACCCATACTCAGACGGAATGATTTGCTGCAGATCTTTTTCAAACATAACTGGTTCTATAGCATTATCTAGACCCATAAAACCCTACACTGCCTCTAAAACTAAAATTTGTGATGTGGTGATTATTTTTAAGATTATCGACGTTCATTAGATACATATTTTCACAAATTTTTTTCTTTAAACCTTTCCTGTCCTGACACCAGAATTTCCCTTTGATGTCTTCAGAGGATGGCGGTTCCCACTGGCCCCAATACATCAGCCTAGGCTAGCAGCTTCATCATTTTTTATTCAAATGCAATTACATGCTTTTCCGTGTGTAAAACATTTAAATTTGGGTAATCATTTATTGCCCAACTAACTCAGAGAAAGTTTCAAATATAGATTTTCAAAATGTTGTATACAGAAAATTATAAGAAATTTCTTCCTGGAGCCAGTGGTGGATTTGGGCCTCTAGTGGAGCCACTTAGCTTCAGACAGACTTAGCCCATGTGTGCAGCCAAAGCAGAGTGATAGGGTTAAGCCTCCTAGCTTTGGGCCATGTTTAAGTTGTCCTGAGAAAGTCAGAACATACAGTATTATGCTCAAAGAATTCTAAAATCAAACACTTCCAAAAAAGGCTTAATATCCTTAATTCCTTACAACCCTAATCCCTATTCCCTCCCCACCCACACTACCCAGAGTTGTACGAGACAAAAATGTTAATAATATATATTTCCTTCTCCAATATCCTTCTGCCACTGTATACTGTACCTGTCCTCAGCCACTTAGATGTTTGTACAAATTGTCATACAATGAAATACAATATATTTTATAACTTTAAAAAAAGTATGGCAAGTTTAGCAACTCATTTTTATTGAAACGAAAGCACCATGTATGTATATACATGCACCTACACTTATGGTACTAAAATTGTGCTTCAGGGTATGTCTTCACCACTGTGGTGGTGGCTTTGTATATCAACATCAGGAAGAACATGAATCAAACAAGGAGTAAACTTGATATTTCCTATTAATAGATCATTTGTCATAGCTAATGAGGTATTACATCTTGACTAATTGTCATTAAATGTCATGTCATTAATGTTAAACAATATCAAATGAGTTATGTTATTTCACAGATGAACATTTTGTGTAATTTTAAATGTAGAGGGCAGCAGACATCGTTTGTCAGTTTATTTTATTTATTTATTTTGTAACGACTTCAAAAATGGTTGAGTAGATTATTAAAATATCCAAGAAAATACGAAACTAAGGAAAAGGAATGTGTTAAATCAATAAAAATTTGGCTGGGATTTGCAAACTTTTTTTTTTTGGTTTGTTGTATAGCTGTTTTTTATACTACATAGTACTTCCCCAATAAATTATATGAATTTATATATTAAATTTGCATGTTTACATGCTGTTGGGTTTTTTAACACTCTACTAATTATTTATCTGAGACTGATTTTGCTTCATATTGATAAGTGAATATAGGCTAACTCAGACAGCATCATACAATGTTGTTACATTCACACTGTACAACCTCAAATTCTCAATTTAAAGCTCCATTCCTGGCAAAATTGCAGTTCTTAGAAAAATCTGATTTTCACATATGTTATAAAGATTTATAAATATAATATGGACTTGCTAGTTTAACTGAATTTAGACATTCGTAAACATGAAGAAAATGTAAAATAAAACTGAAAATTGATTATTTGTGTTCCACACAGAAAATAAACGCGGATGAATTTTTTATGTTTGATTTTGCGATAGGTTTGCGAATTAATATAGTAGGCACCAAAAACATTAGCCTATCACCCCTGCTAGGCTAGGCCTAGCCTTACCTCGATTTAGGTTCCGTTATCAGTCATAAAAACGGCCAACATGACTGTTGCTATTATTGACACTTGTGAAATATAAGATTTCATTGGGATTATTTCAAATTTGTTTAAAAAAATGAATCTGACCGAGATTTTGACAATTAAACAAACATCTGGCCTACTTGATCGACCGCAGTGGCAAGAT